TCACCGAAAATCAGTTTTGAGAAAATAAATATACCACGAGTATCTACTCGGAACGTAAAATTTTTTTACAATATTTAATTCAACTCAAATTAAATATTTATCCATCAAAAATTCAGTCAAAACTGGGTCAAACCCAAGTTTTTATAACTGATTTTTCCAACACCATCCTCTCTTGATGAAGCTCTTCACAACCACAACTGGAAAAGAGCAATGGACTTTGAATATCAAGCTTTGCTTGATAACAATACCTGGATTTTAACTACTCTCCCACCAGGTAAGAAAGCAATAGGCTGCAGATGGGTTTTTAAACTTAAAAAACAAGCTGATGGATCAGTGGCTATGTTTAAGGCCAGGCTAGTAGCCAAAGAATTTAGCCAAGTGCCTGGTTTGGATTTCACTGAGACATTTAGTCCTGTGGTCAAACCTGCCACAATTAGGACTGTCTTATCTATTGCAGTTACAAAGAACTGGTTCATAAGACAAGTTGATATGGATAATGCATTCTTAAATGGTGATTTAGATACTACAATTTATATGATGCAGCCTCCAGGTTATGAGAGAGGAGAGAATTCAGTGTGCTTGCTTAAAGAATCCATTTATGGCCTTAGACAAGCTTCAAGATCTTGGTGTTTGAAACTAGGAACTATTCTTTGTTCTCTTGGCTTTAAAGGATCCAAGTCAGATACCTTTTTATTTATTAAGGTTGACAAAGAATGTACCATTTTCATATTGGCCTATGTGGATGATTTAATTATTACAGGTAATAATGATAATCAGATTGATCATATCATTTCTGTACTCAACAGTCATTTTGCTCTCAAAGACTTGGGTCCTCTTACTTATTTCTTGGGTTTGGAAGTTGCAAGATCCACAAATGGATTGTTTCTCTGTCAATCTTCTTACATACAGAACATACTCAAGAAAGCAGGCATGAGTAACTGCAAGGCAATAAGCACTCCCATGATATCACACCTAGGCTATCTAAATACCAAGGTAACCCTATTGACAATAGCACTTTATACAGGCAGCTTGTTGGTGCTCTTCAATATGCAACAATACTTCGGCCAGAAATTTCTTTTTCAGTCAACAAATGCAGCCAATACATGCAAAACCCTCTTGATAGTCATTGGAAAGCTCTCAAACGTTTGCTAAGGTATCTTAGTGGTTCTATTAATTCTGGCCTTCACATTACCAAATCTTCTTCATTACAGCTTGTTGCTTATGCTGATTCTGGCTGGGCCACTGATCTTGACGATCTAAAATCCACATTTGGTTTCTGTGTTTTTCTTGGTGGGAACCTCATCTCATGGAGTAGCAAGAAACAAAAGACTATAGCCCGTTCTAGCACTGAAGCCGAATGTAGGAGTCTTTCAGCTGCCACATGTGATGTCATCTGGTTGCGATCCTTATTATCTGAGCTTCATGTCCCTCAAACTCAAGCTACAACCGTTTGGGTTGACAACTTAGTCTCTGTTCTGCTTCCAGCAAATCCTGTTCATCACTCCAAAACTAAACACGCCGCCATTGATCTTCATTTTATTCGAGAGCAAGTTCAATCCCATACAATTTCTATTCATCATATTCCTGCTCTTCATCAGGTAGCCGATATTCTTACTAAGCCGTTATCCGGTCAATTCTTCACTCGGTTTCGCACCAAACTCCATGTGCAACCGAAGACCTCGCTTGAGTTGAAGGGGGCATAATAGCATATATAAAGACGTAGTCAATATTTATGTTCATTTCCTTTATTTCGTCTTTTGGACGTGTGCATGGTACACCCATGCACATGTGGCTTTCTCTTTTTCTTGTAAAGTTTGTCTTATTGTTTCTTTGTGTTTATCCATTGATTTACCATCCTATGGCTCATATGGTTCTAGTATTTGTATTTAAGACATTTGCTATTCGCTTTCCAGGATTAAAGAAACAATCTCAAGTTTGCAGTTGCATATCATTGTCTTCCTTTGTTCTTGATATCAAACATGTGATTTTGCATCCTTGATAATGGCGATCAATATTGGCCATTACAGGGCATGTTATGTAGGTTCGTACCTGTATCCTTGAGTTCGACTAATATAAGCAAGAAAGTCAGGGATAAAATCAAAGTATGTACTTTCATAACATAACATATATGTTATGAAAAATAAAAAAAGCTTTGTAGGAATTGAGTTGGTGTACAAAATGAAACGAGAGGGTAATACTTTTTTTTTTCTGAAACGAAAGAGATATTATACCATACTCAAAGGGAACAATATTCAAATACATACACGACCAACAGTCGAATAAAGAAAATTGGGAGGACTCGCTATAAAACGGCCTAGAAATCCCACAGACGAGATATAAAAGAAAAACCAATCAATGGAACATCCTTCTATACCACTGCCAATGCCTAGTATAGATGAAATGCCCCAAGAAACCTTTAAAAAGGCAACAACAACAAACAACTACCAATACAAAATAAGGAAACAAAAAGGGAAAAAACTAATAAAACAGAAACCAAGAGGAAACAACAGAGAACTCCAACCAATCCTTGGAAGTGTTTAGCAGTATTTTGTGGGGTAAATGGTAACCGAGCTACTCGACCTTGAATCATTCTCAAAGGAAGGCTATTCGGAGCTTTGTCTACTACTTGATCGTCCAAAACACACAAAAATAGAAAAATAAAGACCTAGACATTCTAATCGATGAGTTCGGGGTGGAACACTAAGCAACCTAAGAATTACTAGAAATTGCAATCAACAAGAAAAAACGAGCGAATATCGAAATTAAACTATCGGAATCTTTATGCCATCGACACAAAAAGGAAAACAAATAGAAAAGAGAAATATGCAAGCAATAATCACTAGGTAATTAACCCTGACCTTCTAGCCCTAAGTCATTAAGCTCTAAATACACTCGGAAGTTGTAGCACACCAGCCTTAAGAGTTCTAGCGAACAGAAACGAAGACGAGAACTGAGCAATATGATATGATGCGTGAGGCTTTGAGAATATTCAGATTGCATGAAAAATGTTGTGTGTTTCTCTGCAGTTCTAAGTCCTATTTATAGAACTTCCACATCTTGAGGGAAACCAACAGTCGCATCTGCCACTTAAGGCAGAGATAATGGGCAGAAACGTTTTCAGGTGTTAACTCACCATTAACCAAGAGTTATCACCATTAACTGGTAATCAACACCATTAACACTCCACATGAAAGGTCAGATGTTACATTTCATATGAAAGGTCATGTGTCCAGGTTCATTGTACCTGGAGAGGTCTCACTCGGGTTGGGTCAAAACCTGAGTCCAAATCCAACTAGAATTGGATTTTTCAGTTGGGCCTAAAGTTGCAAATAAATTTGCAGCAAAAAGGTATAGTGATTTGGC